CAAGAATGCCATATTCGCACCGATGACCAGACGTTCCAGATCCGTTGACAGATTATCGATCAATTAGCGGTACTCGATCACTACCTCCACACGCCTCATCCAAGCGATAAATCTTTGTCGCAACGCGTAATAATCTTATGCAATCTTATGCATGCATTCCAACTAATATTCCATGCCTCTTTGACGTTTTGTATCACGCGTTGTATCTTGTTTCTCCGATTCTGAATAGAATTCGGAATAGAAAGCGTAATCTTTCTTTTTCAACAACACCCGGCTAATCACAATTTCGAGTGAGAGAAGAAGCCAATCGAGGAGATTATTTAAGAAAAAAGATATGATATGTGTAACACAGAGAAATTCGTATCTTCTCGACGATTCTCGGATCGACGGGTTATTTAAAAAAGGCTGAAATGTTTCACAATAATAAATACGATCATCGGTGTAGCCGGTGTATTTCCACACAGTTTCGATGAGATCACGCGTTTACTCCTTTCACTCGTGATGATAGCGGCCCAATCGGTCGGCCCCGGTTTCGACACACAGATCACGCCATCATCGCCGCCTTTTTTCATTTTCTTTCCATCGCCTCTCGACCCCGCCAAGTTTTCCGTGGCCAAGGGGCGGGGTGGGGAGGAAGCGCGGAGACGGCCTGAGCGGGGGTGGAATATGAGATGCGGGCAAACTGATTTATTTAAGGGGGCAGACCAGACATCCGGTTTGTCGAATTACGCTTTAAGAGCGCCTGTAGACGGAGTGGTAGATAAAAACAGTGAGATGGGCAGATGAGAGAGGAGGTGGAGGAGAGAGAGGGGAGGGTGGGAGAGGGAGAGAGAGAGAGAGAGAGAGATAGAGAGGCCGGGCAACGAGGTGGAACGAGACCGCGTATGCCCGTCGACCCGTTAACCGTTTATCATTGCATCGACACGAGTCACGCAGCCGGACCCTTGCCTGTCCATTTAAAAAACGAAAAAAGACCGGCGGGACTTTAGTAGGAAGTGACGTCACCCTGGGCCAAAATCCACCTTCAAACCGTTTTGCCACCATATACACCATTGAATTCTCCTTATACGTGTGTGCCTCCATGGGCAGCGTGTGCGATCGCCACTTACCAACTGTTTATATAAACACATATCGCACCGTGGCCGGCATTCGAAACGTATAACGGGTGAGAGTTAAAATAAGATACGTGTCTAAAATCGTTAAATCGTTGAATGGATTAAGAAAAAAATTGTTAGCATTTTAGAAGATGAAAAATTGTGAAAATTGTGCGATTGAATGATGCCCTTTGAATACGAATGGGTTTCGATAGAGAAATATTTCGGTTGATAAAATTTGGGATACGAAACGGGCACGAAAACGATTCGTTATCGAATATCTTTTAACTCTTTTAGCCTGGGAATAAAATATAATTCTAAAAAAAAAAAAAAAAAAAAAAAGGAATCGTCCCGAATCCCTGGGAAAGTATATTTTCAAATAAGCTCACCCGTTACATCGATTCCATTGACCACCGTGATTCGTACGAACAATTGACAAATGGCAATCGCGTCCACTGTCGTTCGTAATGAAAAAAAGTTACTAAGAGTACAAGTATGTCCTTAATCCATTCACTTCAAGGTCACAGTTTAGTCGCTAGATTTAGAAATTTAATCTTTATCACCTTAAGTTAATCTCTCTCTCTCTCTCTCTCTCTCCGTGAGATTTTCGAGACGTTAATAACTCGATTTCGCGAGTCCACTCTAAAGCAACGTCTTTCTTTCTTCGTTTCAAAGGGATAGATTTTAATCGATTCGTCAACACGTCCGGATTAAACTCGGCGATCGGAACGATCGCGGCCGACAAGATGATCCTCGCCTCGTAGGTGACAATGACAAGCGTCTCACCCTTTGTTTCGTACTTGCTGCTAGTAGGAAGCAATCCAGCGACAACCGATGCATTATTAATGTCCCCCCATTCCCGCTCGTTCCCGCTCTTGTATATACTCGGTCGCGCGGCGTACACTATATCCTCTTCGTGTCCGGGGAGACGAGAGCGATCGCGGGCCCCTTCAAATGAAAATTAAGACGTCCCGGACGAGAATTATGCGTTGAATTAATTGGTACGTGTACGAACTTGTGCCTATTCAATTTTCCTTCCCATTAAACCTAGATTAATCGTGTCTAATCGGGGCCAACATCGATGATTATTTATATCTTCACTTTTCCGTTTCCTTGTGATCGTGGATTCATCGATCCACTTCTACAATCGTATCGTGCGTTAGAAGTTGCTTCGATCGAAGCAAGGAGATGGATGGATATTTACCAGGAGATGAAAAAAAATGTTCTTTTAAACTTTTTTCGAAGTCTAATCAATTGCTAATATAGCGCAAGAATTATTCGCCCGTCGAGTCGAATCTCCTCGAAATTCAGAAATTTCCATCGGGCAGAAAATTCCTCTCGAAATCCTCTTCGTTCGAATTTCAACGACATCCCCCCAACGGTTTCTTCGTCGTTTCTTATTTCAATTCTTTTCTCTTTTTTATTTTTATTTTTTTCATTTTTTTCCAAACGTTTCCTTCATCGATACACATCGCCCCTACTCACGCGCGCGGAGTGCGACTCTCCGACGCAGCAGGAAGGTCCTATAGATTTGACCGTGTAACGATTTTAACCAGATACGACCAATCGAGAGAGGGGGACCGGAGTCGGGTACATTATCGCGAAGATGACGCCTGTGACAGCATGTGGGAGTCAGCTGTCACTCATTGTTGCCCCGGCAGACGTGATATATCCAGACATTTCGCTCCGTGATACCACCGGCCTGCCTGGAATTCTTATCCTACGACCTCGGGCCACGATCGATATACCGTTGCTTTTCGCATAAACACTTGGAACAGGGATCTTTCTTCGATCATTTCTCTCGTACGGTACAGAATTCCCTGATAAAAAGAACTGGAAATTTTCGATTTTCGCAAAAAATATACATATATATGTGTGTGTGTGTGGTACTTTTTTCGTTTGGATTATTTTATTATTCGATGAGCAAGAGGG